CTTTAAAAAAAAAAAAAAAAATCAGTTGTCATTCTGGACACGTACTGGCTCCTTTTAATTTGCCATGTTATACTGCTATAAATCTGCCCCAGTATCATAGTAATGCTAACAAGGAGAGAAGGGATTTGGATGAACTCTGTGTCATGCTGTTTTTTCTTTATCACTTTTCTAATCTAATCTATTGCTGTTGTTGTTTGCCATCCAACCCAACTGGAACTAACTTAAATAAGAATACATCTCGATTTTTGCATTTATGCCTGCATACATTACTCCCACAATATGGTCTGACATCCTCAGCAGTATTTGTGAACATAAAGATGTCCTAAAGCTAGAAATCAGAGAATCACAATTTTGTCCATTTGATGATGTCTTACTGAAAACAGAGGTTTGTAGATTTAGGCAATGTTTGACTTAACTTTAACAAAAAAAATTAATTTATATAAACTTTAAATGAGCTCCACCAGTACTGTACCTATTGTTCTTAGAAAAATAATCCTTATACAGGGGGAACTTACACCACATGAGCTAACTTGTTTCTCCTCACCGATCCTTCTTAATTTCACTCTTCACCATACAGTATGCAATTATGGCTCCCTTCTGTGGAAGGCTTCATTATCCATAAGTGTGGCTTTACAGATTTGAACTGCTTCTCTCTTCCTTTGTCTGTATGGTATTAAAAATAAGTTTCATTCGTTAAATGAAACGTGAACACGAATGTCTTCAGCATGGATTTTCCCAAGGGGAAAAAAATTCCGGCCACAGGAAGTGGCATTTACAACTGGGCTAAGGTTTAAAAGACTTGAAATGTTCATTTTTGCAAGTCAAACTGCCCTCATGCGTAAAATTGCTGGTATTTCTCTTTAAGAGACAGATCTGATATTTTCAAAGTGGGTCAAAGAATATCTGTTTGACAACAGATGGTGTTTGCTCTCCAATGGCAATAAACAAACACGTTCATTAGAAATTAACAGACCAGTTTTATAATTGTGCGATTGTATCTGTTGGTCATAATTTCTGGACAAAATATGGTGACATATTCACGCAAAAAAGATTCAAAAACAATATCTGGAGACATATGTGTTCACACACAAATTTTCTCAGAAGAGTTTTAATAGAAGAAAGAACAGATTCTTTAATTTTCCCTTACATCTTAGCCCTAAGCAAGTTGTGTTGCCTTTCCCAGCATGCATTTGGCACCAGGCAGGAAACCAGCCTGAAAAGATTGTCAGTCCATCACATACTTGACAGAGACACACATTCAAACACATTCCTGCCTAGCTATGTTATTTTCAAGCATGAATTTCATCCAACTTGCATATGGGCATAGCACCAAGAGAACATGCAAACTCAGTACTCTAGTCATAGAGAAAGGATCATTTAGTTTTTTTACAATGTGGCTTAGTTTTGTAATTTTTGCAATAAATCTTAATGGTGATAAAACGTTGTACCCACTTAGTTAATTGTTGAGCTCAAACATGGTGACATCGCTTAAAAAGTAGTCCGACAGCAACACAAGCAGTCAGATGATCAGGTTTTAAATAAACCTCAAGGTTGCCCAAAATGAAGGGGAACTGCAAAAAATGATTATCCAAACTGTTTGTTGAGCTGACCTAAGACCACTGTTTTCCTGTACAGAGAGCAGACCTGTCTCCTAGAAAAAGTTGTGTATATACTAACAATTTGTTTTGCTAATTACATTTTGAGAAGAAACTTAATAGCTGGCTGGATTTTGTTTCCTGCAGTGTTAATTTCGGCACCTGATTTTGATTTAGGTCTGATTTTAAGTCTTTTGGTGAAAATGTATATGAGTTTTAGTCAGTAATACAACAGTTGTCTTTTCTGAATATTGACGTTCTAACCTGCACGTTTTTGTAGTTTGTCCCAGATGTTTTGTTGCTACTTCTTGTCTAAAGTGGATTGTATGTGAATTTAGTCTGCAGTAATTGATGGAGACAGAACTCCACTGAAAAACTTTTATCATGCTTAACTGCTAGGAAGTTGTATTGCAAGAGTGGGGTTTACACTGAAGGGAAAACAAATGAAAGACTTTGTCAATAACATTTTACTTACACACTCAGCTTCAACATTTTGCGACTTTACAGATATGTTCATTTACATTTCCTCTTTAACTTGATGAAATGTAATCACATTTCTCTCAAAACCTTTTTTTATTGCTGCCCAAGTAGTTGTGTATAAATGTAACATAACAGACAGACACAGAGGCTTAACTATGACAATCCAATATCCTTTAAATGATGTGGATCGTGGTAAAGAATGTGGCTGAAGGAGCAAAAACTATAATTGACCCAGCAAATGTGAGAAAATCCTGCAAAAGGATACAATACAGCTGTGTGTGAAAGATGAGCTACAGCTGTGGGAGATCAAGTAAATTGCATTGATATCTTGACAGGCTCGTCCCTGTGCTCATCATGTACAGGAAAAAGGCAAAAGAACAAAGACATCAAAGAAATAATAGTAATACAGTGATTCGCCAATGAGGAGAGTTGTATTTTCAGTGACAGGGCCAGTTTATTGCAGCAGAAAAACTGTCCTAAACTACTCCTCCCACTGTGATTTTAAAATGCCTTTATTTCATCTAGACGATGAAGGAGGTACGAAATAAGTGTTTTGCTATCTGCAATAAAAGAAAGTTTCTCTTTTTAATGGCATGGGTATAGCCGAGTGGGGAGTGCACCTTGCTGTTCATCTCCTGCATGCTAGTGTGAGCTGTCTGGGTGATGGCCATTACAGTTCCTGCAACTGCCTGTGCGTCTGCTCCGCCGGGATCACTGAAGTGTTGGAACTAACAAGCTTGGGATGCAGACAGCGGATGCACAAATGGGATTTTGTCCTGAAAGCTTTAGAGTTTGTTCCCTGTCTTCGGTGGAAAACAGGAGACAGGACAGTGCTGTTTGCAGAGTTATGCGCCACCAGAATGACATGATTACATCTGATAATCTTGCTAATGATCTACACTGGGGAGGAGAGCACATAAAATTGAATGAGCTACACCGATGTACACAGTTTCAGTCTCGTCCTCTCATCTCTCTTTTTCTCGTATTCCCTTTCACTGGCGCTCAGATTTATGAATAATCTGAGATGTTCTCCACCCAGGAAGATATGCAATATTCCTTGTCATAGTTTAAGCACACACAGGATGTGGGGCAAAGACGCGCACACATAGACACATTAAAACTCTTCCCCCAGATATTTCTTCACATAAACACAAAAGCTTGTCTCTTTTTTTTTCTGTCCCTCTCTATCGCTCTCTCTCTCACACACACACACACGCACAAAGACACAAACACGCCAAAATCCGCACAATGCTCTCCCAGCTCAAGGTTAGCACAGATTAAAAGATGTGTCATTGATGGAAGATGCTCCTCCTCCCTCCCCGGCCTGTCACAGTGTGTTTGGGAACAGCCCACTTCATTTTAGCAGCATAATGGGTAAACAGAGTGTGATCAGTCCAATTACCCCCTCATTGCAGAGGCGTTCTGGTGGGAATGGCCTGTAGAGAGAGTGAGCTGTCTGGCGTGCAACAGAGTTGCAACAGTAGCACCTGCTGCCCGGAGCCCTCACTTGTATGAATCTCAATTTGTTTATACAGTCGTGCCAAAAAACAGGGACGAAGAAGCGAGCCCTCTAAGGAGGATGGCACTTCTGGCTATCCGTTTGACTGCAGTTTTCACTGCACTGTCTGACCATGTGCGCAAGATCTGAAGCTGCTGTTCTCAGCAATGAGCTCATGTCAGTGTCAGTCCTTCCAGTGGATTGTTCTGTGTTTAGTTCTTGCTGTGCAGCTTTCAAGGATGGTGAATTTTCGAATGCCCCTCCCTCCCCAACTACACTGTTTTACAGTTCAGTAACTGTATGATTTTGCAGCCTAGAGTTCATCCATAGTACAGTAACAAGCTGCAGTCCTATATAGGAATTCTGAAAATGTATGTGATATGGGTTTTACCTGTTTTCAGATATTGTGTTCGCTCTCAAATGAAGATTAAGACAGGACAGTTGGCAGCACAGTTAATAGTCCCATCTTCACTTTTCCAGTTTGTCTCATGACTAACAGTCAGGACTGCTTGACATGTTCATGCAAGTGTGGAGGTTTGTGCTGAGTATGTCCAGGTTCTGGATGGGTTTAACCTTGACAGAAATGAGTAATTGCTCAAACTCTGTTTCAAAATAAATAACATCACATATCTGCTTATATTCTTTGTTTCGTTCTGATCTAAAGATGTGCTTGTCGTCCTTGAAGAAGATGGAATCCTTCTCTTTATGGATCTCCCCTGGGCAGCTGTCTGGCAGATGATGCAAATGTATCTTCCTTGTGTTTTAGCTCCTTATCACCAGGCATCATAATAAGTTTTCCAAGTCAAAAAAATAAGCCTTTTTTAAAAACAAGACTGACATACAATTCCTGCAACAGCTGACATAGAGCTCTGTCAGCAGGAATTAGGTACTGCCTTTCAGGATTTATTTGGCTCTACTAATTGAAACTAATACCTTTCAAATAGCATATTGATTTGGTGAAAGCTCAATTTTTCAAATGAGAATTGTAAAAATGAATGAATAATACAATAATGTGAAGGTGCCAAGATGAAAACAGAGTTGTTGGATGCTTGTTGCCTGTGTGGCACCACAAGACATGGAGATGACAGCAAACATATCATACTATGACTTCAAAGTGCATCTTATTTCCAGGGCTGTTGTGCAGTAGAAGGCCTGAGGCACATTGTATTAGTGGCCTAATTAAAAAAAAAGTCTTATAGTGTCATGAGAAATACAGGCACAGTAGAAAATCCTGCATCTGTCCACATCAAAACGCTATCTGGATCTTTATCGGGAAGTCCAACTGAAAATGTAGTCACTCCTGCGCACGCGCGTGCACACGGTTGACAGGTGAATCCGGTGTTGATTGATGCAAGCAAATTATGTTTTTTTCCCCCCCCTGTCGTTTCAGATGCAAAATTTTTTATTGCCACAGCACTGTACTGCAAAGAACAAATTATTTTTGCTGTCAAACGCTACGAGTCAATCAGGGTGCTTTTTTGGATAACTTTTGTAGGTTTACATAAATAGCCTAAGACGTAATTGAATAAAAACTATGTCCTCCCAGACGAAAAAAAGATCAGCATTTTAAAGCCGTTTTTTCTCCAAACATCCTCATAAACAATGAGCTCAAACAGTTCCTGCAGTCACTCTCCGTCGGCGCGTTTGCCTGATGCGCAGCGCCTCCCCAACTGGTCCCTCACTTTGACAAATTCCTGGACGTGAGCGGGTCTGCTGGCTTCTTGCTCGTAAAGATGATACCTTGAATATTTTAGAAGTTGAATAGCTCTTGCACACATTCACCCCCCCACCGGTAGAAGATCAGTCTGGAAGAACACAATGGGACGGTGGTTATTTTGGAGTTTTTCGCTTTTGGCTTTCGCATTCCTGTACTCCGCTCACCCCAAGTTTGTGGCTCAAGCGGAAATAAGTTCTCCCAGACCAAACGACAGATTTTATCGCCTGGAGGTAATACCGCTGGAGGCACGTGTTACCCGAAAATCAACGGCGGTCAAAGGCTCAATCAAAGTCGACCACAGCGGAAAAGTTTTAAGCGCTTTTGAAACGGACGGTGCTTTGAAGCCAATTAATGGCAAGGAAGTGGGGAATGAAACACAGAGTGGACTTGGAAATGAGGCACCCATCGGCATCAAAACGGCACCAAACTATCACAAACGTTTCAAAATGCCTGGTAAAGAGTATGGTAAGAATTCCGAGGACATCCAATGGCGACCTACAGCGAATATACTGTTAGAAAACGCAAGAAAGAGAGTAAAAAGGAGCGTCGGCACAACATTCAGCGAAAATGTGGATAGGAGTATAAGTGGAGAAGCTCAGTCAAGAGAGAGGTTTGTGGAGACTGTCCAAGGTGTTTCTAACTCCAGAGCCGAGTTCCGGCGCACTGGGGAGGAAGCCAGAGGGTCTAACCCGAGGCAAAGCGAGCCGCACCTGGACACTTCTACTTTTGCTCTATCGGGAGACTCTGCGCACAACCAGGCGATGGTGCACTGGTCCGGACACAACAGCAGCGTGAGTTTCAGTTTTACAAATAACACAATATATCATAAAGGTTTTAGAAAACGTGTTATTTCCCCACACACCGATTACAGCACAATTCATTTAACATTTTCATTTCATGTGTGAAAATGCAAATTTTGAACATTGTAAAAATAGATTTACATGAAACTGGCACATCTTTACGCACAGCTGTTTCTGCGCGCACGAGGGAAATTCCTTCCTACAAACTAATTACTTCAGTCTAAGATGGTCTTGAATTGATCAATGCATTTTCTCTTTTCTCATTCATGATGTTTGTCGTTATTGCCTAAATAGAGGTTGTGACTTTATGCGGGTTGTGTGGGCGCCTGATGGATGCGACTGTGCACTTGCTGGATTCCCTCTGGCCCTTTCAAACTACACTAGAATAATTTATTTCAATGGAGTGTTTGTCACATGAACTTGAAATTAACAGTTAACCCCGTGGGTAAATTTATCTGACACTGAGCAATGGGAAGGTGCATTGTGGCAGCAATCACAACACATTAATTATTTATGAAATAATCAAAGATTGTCTCCCAGGGAGGTGCAATAGCTACAGTTAAAAGGGATTGGGTCCAACTTGGCCCTTGATGTGAAGCTAATGATACAAGTCTGACCTTTTTTGAAAATGAACCATGCATTTGTCCTTGACATTTGACTCACACCTTGTTGGTAGTTGTCTAATTGCTTGGATTAATACTACATTGCAATATGTTTGTTGTTGAAATGTTGCCCAGCTTTGGTTGTGCACAGCTTAAATGGATGACAAGACATTGCAGCAACCACCCATACCCCCCACTCCCAACCCACTCTCACACACCACAGCTGCATGCACTCTTTGTGGTTGCACACCATTTTACCATCACAAAGACAAAGCCATGGAGATTTTATCTCTTACTTTACATACGCCGCATGCAAAGGTGTTTGCAAGCTTCAGCACTTATCACACACAAATATCTTTAAACTACAAACAGCCTCGTACAAGCCACTCTGCCTTTTTAACTTCAGGTAATTCAGATCACCTCAGTTAGCTGGGCAAAAGTGTGTGTGGTGGCAGCATTAATCTGAGACCACATCAGAAGATTTGTGTCCCAGAAACACTGCAAATATTTATACATTATCCAAAAACATATATAATTTCAATGGATTATACGGTTCACCTCTACTATACTTCTATTTGTATTTTCATGGTACATTTTATGTTTGGTAATATATGTCATAACATCAGAGGCATCGCAGACTTCAGCCACATGCTATGGCCAGAAATAAACCAGAAATGCATCTAATAAAATCTGATTTGTGGGATGTATTGTGAAATATGTTGTTGGTTTGAGATATCTTCACCAACGATGCCCTTTTGTACTGCAGGACACTGTTCACTGGATCATTACTGATGGGCTTGTCACTGCAGCCAGTCAACATCTGAGATTTATACAGTCTGAACCTGTCTGTCGTCCCAAAAGTACGGCTGGAACTGCAGGGTTTAAATTGATGGCATTTTATGACTAGATGTTAGAGCTTAGACTATATTAGATGTAAATGACTGATAATAAATCCAATCTAAAAGGAGCATTTGAAGGAAAATTACTACATTCCTGTGGTCTAGGATAGATCTATCAAATATTCACTTCAAGACTTTGCCAGTGATCTGGCCAAAATGTAAAATCCTATATGGAGTGAAATGAGAAAGATTTAGACGGTGATCATGATGGCAGCGGGGGAATCTTCAGAGTTCAGATGAGATAAAGAATTTCATCGTATAAAACCTCAAATCTATCCACAAATCAGTCTCCCAACTATTATTTGATTTCTGTGATTGTCTGAGACATCAAAGCCTGGAGCCATAGCTCTCTGGTCTCTGACTTTTAAGAGAGATAACATTGATTGGACTCGGCCATGGGAATAAAACATATACTGCACGAATTCCCTTTTTAAATTCATGCTTCTTAACTACATATAGTATTGATTGAGTGTGCATGTTTCTGTCCTGAATGGGAATGGAGACACATAGGGTTATGATTCATAATGTGTGCCATAAATAGGAGAAAGAATAGAAATTAAAGTAATTAAAAATACTAATAAATACAATTGACTGTGATATGACTACGTATGTTGGTAATCTTTTAAAACAGCCATTGCAGCACAACCTACACTCAAGGGATGCCGACCCTCCCTCCACCCTGAAAGCAAAAGTCTTAGTGTGCGAGCCAGCTGGTAATCAGGGAGTTATTGGCAGCCAAATTATTTTAGGTTCCTGATTGACCATTTTTGCAAGCTCCTTGCAGACAGCTGACCAAACTAGGACACTGTGCTGAAGCTAAGGATAGTTAATGAGTGTCTTTATTGACATCACACCCCTTGAGCTGCTGCTGCAGAAATTATACTGAATTTGTTTGTGTAAATAATGCCCACCTTCAATGAAAATAAGGGTCTGGTCATCTTCACTGGCCTGCTATTATAAACTTACTCTGGGAGGAGCTGGAGGCCAGTTGTTCTTGGACCATGGTGTAAATCTTTTTTGTTGTTGTTGTGTTTTGTCTGAGGTGGTGAGAGTCAAAACCAATCTGTCAGCTCTGTAACATTGTCTTTTTCTGCTGCGACTGACTGGCAATCAGACAGGCCTCCTGGGCCGCGTTGTCCGCATGCTTAATCAGAACGAGGCAGTTATTGTTGCACATAATCTCATCGGTATAAATAGACAATAAAAAAGAGGAAATGGCATGGCCCTGGGGGACACTTGTGTTTAAAACCGGTTCATTAGATAGACAGCCATTCCATTTAACATGCCAGAGCTGGTTGCATAGAAACTCCTTGATCCATAAAATCAATTGGAATGGGTTCCCAATTCACAGAGGTGTTTGACCAGAGTTTGCGGGTGGATGATGAAAAGTGCATTAAAAAGCTGCCACTGTCGAGGTATTCAAATACAACAAAGGGAAAAGTTTCAATGTGGTTTTGTTTTTCTGATAATTTCCCACATCTCTTTTGTATTTTACAAGCACATCTGCAATTTCTTGATTTTGCACTTATAATTTGAGGTAAGATCCCTTTTAATTAAACAGTTACATGATGCTAAGTCAAAGGGGCTGATATTTGACCTTGTAAAACCTTTTGTTCTTCCGCTTTTCATCATCCTCTTGTCCCCTGGAGATTTTGATCCATACACTTTTGAAAACCAAAAGTAGTTCACGTTTTAAAATTTCAGTACAAATTGTTTGCCTCCTGTGACACACTTTGTATAAGGATATTCTGCAGCACCTCAGCATAAGGAAATGTTTTGTTTAAATTATTATCAATATACCTACATCTGATTCAATTGATTGTCAGTTAAATGCTTTACTAAGTATGTAGTTGCCACTGGGGAAGAAACTTCAGAGAACTTTTTTTCTACCAGCCATATTCATCCTTTAGCTTTTACCTGCTTGTCCCTCGAGGTGTCAGCACCATAAGTCTGTTCATTAATCCATCCCGTCTCAAGCCTTTTGGGGTGCACTGTCCACTGATGTGATTCTAAGATGCTGATAGAAACTGCAGCAATCCTGCGTGCTATGTAAGAAGTACACTCTTGGTTACTACAGCAAAAACAATCGCTCAGGAGCCTGTATGGGCAATTATTAAAGGTTTTCTGAGAAAAGGCAGCATTTACCATTTGTTTGTTTTGTTTTTTTGCCTCAGTTTTATTTTATTTTACAAATTTTACCCTCTGTAGTAATAATTCAGTGAAATCTTACTTTTTTACTCCTCAGATGACATGCATGTATGCCCTTTGTTTCATGAATCATTTATGCTCGGGGACCATAATGCATGACATCAACATAGGCTCTCAGCACGTCCTCAGCAGTTAGGCTAGTTTTACCTCACAAAGTGCATTTTAAGCTGCAAAACAAGGCCCGCCATCAGTTGCGTGTTCAAGCTCACTGTCATTACTTGATTTCCTTTCTGACTCCCTATCAGTCTCAGTCTCTCTTTTTAACACACACACTTACACACACTTTATATTTCAAATTCAATCAAAGTGACAAAGCGGGTGCAGAATCATATTTGACAAGTTTGCATGTGATTAATTAGTTTAATAACTGTCGTAGTGTGGCAGACACATAGTATAGCTGTGATTAGGTTATGAAAACAAATTTATGCATTTTCTGATTGGGAAAATCATAAAATTGAAATTCAAATTGGGAGACGACCTCTTTATTAATCATCATGGAGATAGAGTTAAAACAAACTGTGGCGCTTTATGAGATGAAAGTTTTTATGTCTAAAGGTCATGGCTGATTTTGTTTGGTTCTTTGTTGCCATCACTCCAAATAGCAGGCAAACCAAGCTACCCCAATTTGGTAACAGTATGTGTTGAGCCTTACAGGTCCTTGAAGCAGCATATTGCCTGAAGCAACACAGCAGTTACTATCATGTTTAAAGATGACTGGGATTGCTCAGGTGGCAGTCAGCTTAAATAATGGTTTGAGTTGGCAGTTTACAGTGACGGGAATGTATTAGTTGCGGGGGGGAATGCATTTTTCCTATCTAGTGAGATAGAAAAGACCAAAACGTAATGCACCACACACACACTGTGCAATCAATGTAGGTGATGGAAATCTTTCAAACACGAAATGACACATTTGGAAACGGAATACTCACTCAATGGGTATCCTGGAACAAATCCTTTTAAAATGACTGGTTGCTTTTTCTTTGAACAAAAAAAAGACTTATGGTTAAAATCTGTATAAGCTATAGCTATATAAATGGACAAATCAATAGGAGAAAATGATGGCAGTTATTTAGAAATTATTAAACAATATTCATCAAAATCTTTGCAGAGGTAAGGCTTGATGGGTTAATGGTTTTATTGGAGCAAATGTGAATTGACATCAATACAAATGTCATGAGACGAAACAATGTAACACTGAATTTGAAATAACAACTAATTGTATTCTAACTTTACTACTGCTACCATTTAATGACCCTCTCAACCTGAATCCAGTACCCTTTAA